ATGTGGTTGAGTGCGTGGCGTACACGGAGCGATCACCCATATGGCCTCAGGTGGTTGAGCAAAATGAAAATCTTAGGAGTTGTTTTCGGCAATGATACTGAAGTGAATAATTGGCAACCAAAACTCGAGAAGTTGGAAAAACATCTTTATCTCTGCAAATCTCGTTCTCTCTCGCTTGTTGGCAAATCTCTTTTGGTCAATGTCTTAGGAATCAGTAAACTACTCTATCTTTCGTCGGTTCTGTACTTCCCTCGATGGGTTATTTGTAAAGTAAATTCGCTAATTTGGCCTTTTGTTTGGGGCTCTCGTATTGAGACAGTAAGTCGAATGACCTGCCACCAGCCTTTTAACAAGGTGGCCTCGGAATTTTCAATTTCCAAATCAAAGGTGACTCCTTAAAGCTAGCCTCTCTAGTGTGTAATCTCTCTAACCCCGAACCAAATCTTTTTACCTAACCAAATACTTACTAGGATTTAGGCTTGCTTCTTTTCGGCCGGAGTGGCATTCTCTTCGCGACAATTCCACTCCGAGTTCGCATGACTCTACACCATATTACGAGAAATGTTTTTCGGCGCTTACCACTCTTCGCGGGATTGTGTCCCGCAAAGAGTGGCAAGACTTTGATTTTACCTCTGAGAAAGGCTATCGGGCCCTGTTAAGAGAGAATTCTGCTTCCCCGATTCTTCACCGTTTTTGGTCCCCCTTTCTTCCTATCGATTTCAAACTTGACAATCTCTGGAAATTGGTTGGAGATGACTTTTCTGAAAACTATAAGAATGATGCGTTGGGGTCAATTGTCCTTCGGGCCATTTAAGTCCGCGATTCCCTAAAACATTGCGGCTATATTGATTCTGATAAATGTGCCTACTGCTCTCGAAAAGAAACAATTGATCACTATTTTCTTAATTGTTCCCGTGCTAAAAAAGTGTAGTCGTATTTTTCTCCTGTGATGTACTCTCTCCTTGGTAATTTCTTCACCTCTCGTACTTCTGTTTTCTTCATTCAGTGGGCTCCAGTCAGCCCAAAAATTGCGCGACTGGCCCGTTTCTTTATCAAAACGATCTTGTATGGCATTTGGAAGTTTCGTAATAATGCTACTCTTCGCAATGGAGAGGAAAATCATGAGGGTACAATCCGTTATATCCTCAATGATATCAAGAAGAGAATCTCTGTGACAACTTTCGTCTGACTTTAAAAATTTGTGGGAAGCTCCAGCACTGTGTCAAGTAGACAATACTACTATTAAAATTCTCGTGTAAATAATTAATAGCTTATTTAGTAACTAATTTAATAAATAGATCAATTGTTTAACAGTTAGTTCCTTTTAGGTTTCTTTAAATTCTCCCTAGTTATATCTTTCCTTAGCATCCTAATTTCAGAAATGCCTGGGAAATTAAAGGAGACTCATATAGACTAGTATTGTAAATATTAAAGGCTGATAGTTTCTAAAAAAACTGTTTGGGGCTGCGTCGGTGGGGGTAACGAAATAATTTGAATATATCCACAAAGTTTAAATGGTAAATTGGCCACCGTTAGGTTATAAAAGCTTACGTTTCGAGCGTTAGCCCTTCGTCGGAGCGAATAGAAGAATTGTGGGTTGAGTGTGCTTTTAAAGGCAGAAAATGGAGCTACCTTATTGGTTGGAACACGACAACGAGAAAAGCACGAATAAATTAGTGGAATGAAAGTCTAAATCGACAGTCTAAATCCCACAGGTATCAACGAACGCTTTTCATTCCACTAATGGAATAAGAAAACTCAAATGAAGATGCGTTGTCAAAACGCTTATGCTTCTCAAATTCTTCTTCCACGCACCTTTGTTTTAAATAAACTTTGATGGTTCTTTATGAACAGCTAAATCAATTTGAAAGTAATAGAAAATTTAACGCAAGCTTGTTTCCTGTTTGCTGATCAGTCGAAAACACAGTAAGAAAGGAACGGCCGAACTGAGGATAAATCACCAGGAAAATTGTTTCTGTACATCCACGCATTTTCAAAACGAACATAAATTTATTTGTACAGTGAAATCAGAGAAACAAAACGCTACTACCCCCACCCCCCACCTCCTAAATGCTCTGTGTGGTCGTAGCAGGCTGTTTTAACTCAAAATGTCACCAAGTTGATGTTTACACAACAAAATATATAGTGTGATTGGACGAGTATCGAGCCCCAGTTAGAAAGGATAACAACAGAATGTTACTACTTCTCTTTCACCTTTCATTTACCAGAGCCACTGTGTACCATCGCAACGTGGAAATGCTCCTAGACTACGCTACAAAATATCGTGAATCGGTTCATGTCGCATCCATAAGTAACGCATGCATGTCGTCATAAGCAATTTCCATGATAAAAGATTCACGACACTTTGAAAGAACTTTCTGGAGCACTCACGGTTGTTGCATTTCTGTGAATTTGACTAAGATAATGTGTCTCTCGTAATTGTTCAAAAAGGTGTAAACTTCCTTGACGAAGACGAAGCAAACAGCAAAGATAGTAGTAATAACAATAATAATAATAATAATGATAATACTAGTGACGGCAAAAGATTTAAAAGAGGGTTCTCTATCTGCAATTCTTAACTGGCGATCTTATATTCTACATTCTCGACCCCAATTCCTGATTTTCCGGGAACCAAACCTGACGTCTCTTCAGGCCATGAATTGCGCTGAGGATTACTTCTAGGTGACAGTTACACTCTTTGTTAAAGAAAATTTTTAGGAACTCAAATTAACTCCTGCACAGTTTCGAGTAATTTTTTTGACAAACTGAATGAGCGACTTAGAGGTTAACCACACAACATAAGTCAGCACATAAGACACGAAACGAAGAACAGCAAATAAATTTGATGATGTAACAGTCATGTAAACTATTCGTTATCTGTAAAGCGAATGAATAATAATTTGTTCTAGAAACAATTTAGTTCGGCCAGGTCACGTGATCGCTGTAAGTCTTATGCTTGAGATTTTTAATTTTCTTACAAAATTAAAAAGTATCCTTTTTGTCTTAGAAGCGATTCATCCTTTTCTCTAAATTGAAATCTTTACTCTAGGAAAAGTTAAGTTCATTTTCTTGATCCATCATCTTAAACACGTGTAATTTACCATTTTATTTATTTACCAGCCATAAATGGTCCACCGATATCAGTAATAGCATTGGAGTCCTTAGCTTAGAATTATTTTGGTAGTGCATTTTACTGAGTTTGCTTAGCTGCTTGTTTATTTCTTTTCTGTATTGACCCTGACAATAAAGTATTCAGTGACTCCAATCTAATCTTTATACCAAAACATCGCATAGGCATGTGCCAGAGATGCAAGAGATGCAAGTTTTCGCAACTGAATGGCCCCCAAAATCTTTACTTCCGGAGAGCAAGATCAGTGGCAGTTTATTGAGTGGTGACATGATAAAGTATTTGTCTGAGGCCAAATTGGCTTCTTTTTCTAAAACACAGTAAAATTCCAAAGGTAGTTTAGGCGGTTCATGGTTTCTTAGTTTGACAATTAACTGTTTCCTTAAAACTTCTTCGATTACTTCAGAGCGCATTTAAATTTAATGACATTATATTGAGGAAGCCTGAGTCAGAGGGTTCAACCGGAGACTCCCACTGAAATCATGCGAGAAATTAACGACAAAATGTCGTAGTTAAACCTGATTTGTTTGGGGCCAATTAAGTTTTGATCTGCTTGCAACCAGAACAATGTCACTCTGATTAGCATGTGGTTTGTACCCCTTGTTTCTGCGTAACCCTTCGACACCTGACAGTGACAAGCATCTAATTTCTCCTTACAACCCTAAATTTAAACATTTACGTCACGACAAAAAAAGAAAATGATCATCAACTTAAGAAGCTCTTGATTATTAAACAAGTTCTCGTTGTCAGCACCTTAAGAAATGCAGAGAGCAGTACGAGAATATAAATATTGATGTTAATGTGGCGACCGCCTATGAAGATGGAAAAGAGTTCGAGGAAAACTGATGTTCGAATAAACCATACATCTAACACGATCCGACTTGTCAGGTCCATTTGTTCGAGAGTGACACACAAGATCGGCAACAAAACTGTGCTAGAGATTCCAAATAAGTTTTACCGAGACCTAGAACCTTACAGGACCGTCGAAGACTGTAGGGTTATTCGGGGTTCTGAACGAAAAACTCTTGCTTCAAACATTCCGCTCCACACGGAGCTCGAAAAAGGTCCCACATGTGGTCGATAGCATCACGTGATGCGTAGCGCAAACTGAACGACAGGAATAGCGTTACACTTAAAAAGTAAAAGGGTTAAAGGTTAACAAGGATAGGAGCTATTTAAAAACTTTGGAGCCAATTATATTTTTGAAACCTATAAATTTATCAAAAATTCATTAGGTTTGATCGAGATGGCTTTCCAAAAGTCAGCTTTCTTTACTGTGTTTTCTCTGAAGGGGAAGGGGATAGGAGTAGCTTAACTGAGGGGCAAGGATTTTTCGAGTTTCGACATCTTTTCCTCTGTTTTCTTTGCTCTCACATTTCCTTCTTTCCCAGTCTCCTATCTTCAGAAGTTCCAAATTAAACATTTTAGTTTTGGAGACTAGTCATTACTCATCGCGTTAGGGCATCGAATGATTTTTTTGGGGGGAGGGAGGAAGGGGTGGGATCGTATGGCTTTCTAGGGGAACAGAGAGGAATTAGTCGTCGCTAACAAAGTATAAAGGGGGTTTTCGGAAAATTACATGCCATTAACTGCCACGGAGGGAGAATCACGAGAATTTTACGGGTCTGTAGGGAGAGAAAAGGTAAAATTAGTCGTGACACAACCAAAATCCTTCAAAACCTCCCCCCTTCCTTTCCTGGGCGATAAATCATGACAGGTCCCTAAATGAAAAGCGCCATGTTGAAGATGAGCATGAAGTCGAAATTGACGGTCCCCAGAACTCCCTTGCGAATGAAAGGTCATAGCGCCGAAAGGGTCTCCGAGAGATGTGTAATATCTATGATCGTTATAAATATAAAGAAAACGACAAAACTTTTGAGTTTAAAAGACATGTTTCTACAGAAACCTCTGTCATCTTCAGTTGATTAACAAAGCGTCACAAGTTGAATTTATAAGTCCATGCTAATTAAGCTAGTAACAACAGAAAACGTGACAATGCTAAAATTATAAGGATACCTTTAGATTTACATGATGTAATTGTTGATTCAAAGGTTGTTCTCTTTCAATGTGAATAGATTCTTTTATCTTGAGTTGGAAACTCGTAGAGGCGTGATCTAAGATATGGAAACAATCTACTGAACACAAGGCGCGACAATGTTCAGAATTCTGTAGAAGTTTGGGATAAATACACTTGGGTAAGAGACTTGTTGACTTTGGTTGCCTTAGCAAGAAATGTAGTAATGGTGTCACTTACATCATTAAAAGTTCATAACACATATATACTGGCCACTCTTTCTGACTTTGAATCCCTCAGCAATAGTGTTGCACCGGCATCACTGATCTGATTCCCAGATAAACTCAAAGTGGTCAGAGTCTTGTTAACTTTGAGAGCCTCAGCAATAAAAGAAGCACCAGCATCATTAATACGATTGTATGACAAATTCAAAGTGGTCAGAGTCTTATTGACTTTAATCGCCTCGGCAATAGATGAAGCACCAGCATCACTAATACGATTTTGTGACAAATCCAAATGTGTCAGAGTCTTATTGACTTTAATCCCCTTAGCAATAGATGTAGTGCCGCCATCACCAATATCATTGTACGACAAGTCTAAGTGGTTCAAAGCACCTTCGACTTTAATTGCTTCAGCAATAGAAGAGGCACCAGCCTCACCTACATCGTTATTCGACAAATCCAAATTTGTCAGAGTTTTGTTAATTTTGATTGCCTCTGCAATAGATATAGCACCAGCATCACCAATACTATTTTTCCATATGCTCAAAGAGGTCAGAGACTTGTTGACTTTGACTGCCTCTGCAATAGAATTAGCACCAGCAACACAAATGCCATTTCGCCACATTCTCAAAGAGGTCAGAGACCTGTTGACCTTAATTGACTCAGCAATAGATGTTGCACCGGCATCATTGATGCTATTGGACGATAAATCCAAATTGTTCAAAGTCTCATTGACCTTGATTGCCTCGGAAAGAAACGTGCCACCGACAGAACGGATATCATTGGTGGACAAATTTAAGTCAATTAGGGTTTTATTCAATTTTATTGCCTCAGCTATAGATGCAGCGCCAGCATCACTGATTCCATTATCCGCGAAATTTAACTTGGTCAGTGTTTTATTAACTTTGATTGCCTCAACAAGAGTTTTAACTCCGTCATCACTAATACGATTGAACGACAAATCCAATATAGTCAGAGTCTCGTTGACTTTTATTGCCTTAGCAATAGATGCAGCACCGGAAGCACTAAACCCACTACGGGACAGATCTAAACTTATTAAAGTCCCAGTGACTTCGATGGCCTCGGCAATAGACGTAGCACCTGCATCACCAAAACCGTTGCCCCAAAACGACAAATGGCTCAGAGTCTTGTTAACTTTCATGGCCTCAGCAATAGATGTAGTACCTAAATAACTGATCCCATTGCCGGACAAATTCAACTCGGTCACGGTCGTGTTATCTTTCATTGCCTCAGCAATTGAAATCGCACCGATATCTGTTAAACAATTGCGTGACAAATCCAAACTGGACACACTGTCAATAACCTTGATTGCATCAGCAATGCATGTGGCGCCTGATTCATTGATACCATTGTCAGACAAGTTTAAGGCAGTCACAGATTTGCTATTTTTAATAGCCTCACAGAGTATAACTACGAGTTCCTTTCTGAGAGTAGCCATACGCAAATCAACACGTCCAAATTGAACACTAGATCCAAAACGTCTTGCTAGCTGCAGATGAAAATCCCCATTTTCCCGTTTACATTCGTTGATGGCCTCCAATACAACTTGGACGGGAAAAACGTTATATTTTCTTACATTCTCGAACTGATTCCCTATATTCGCAACAAGAGCCGCAGCTTGTTCTGTGGAGTGTTCTGCTAAAATGCCACATGAAAACAAAAGCACCTGTTTCAGGTTGCTGAAATATCTGTCATCCGTTACTAACTGCTCAGGTTTAATTCGTCCATCTCGAAGCTCACAATAGATATAGAACGCTGCAAAGCATTCTTGAAAGCTTTTGTGTAGAAATGCATAATGCAGACTCGGCTTTAGTTTACTACCTCCATGATGAACAGACAGAAATCCTAAAGCAGCTATATCACTTGCACACTCTCCTAGTTCATTCTCCTCAAAATCCAACTTGTCATCATTCAAACCATTTAGTGCTATCAATCCAAGGGTTTTCAACTGCGATTTGTAAAGGTTTGTAAGATCTCCTTTGGTATCAGGTAGTTCTGTCTTTTTTCGATATCTTCTCAAGACACATTCAATCATATTTAAATAGAGCTTGGTTCTATTTTCTGGAAGGGTACCACCGAATTCTTCACACAAAAGGCAAAGCAGCGCCGTGTTCAATGGATTTGCACACATTTCTTTAAGGTTCTCATCGCGTGATATTCGTGCCGAGAGCTTTTCAGCCAATTCCGACTCTTCCTTGAAATACTTGGCGATAAATTTTCTGGCTTGTGCTTCAGTAAAGCCTTCCACCTCAAGCAAGGTGTCACAGCATTTTCTTACCTTTACTCCAGTTTCGTGTCGTGCAGTTACCACTATGTAACACTTCGGAAGCAGTCTTCCCGCAATTACTTCAGAAATCAATGGCACTTTACTGGAGGGTAACTCATCCAGTCCATCTAATATCAATAAAACGTTGGATTGGTTCTCACGTATAAACTGGAAGAATTGCTCTTTCGCTCCTTCCTCTAGATCTTGAGGGAGAAGTTGGTCATCAATGGCTTCCCAGATGTCGGACTTGATATCACGACATTTAAGGAGCAGCACTGTTTTGATACTTGAGATGCAATCCCGAGGGTTCTGCTTTTTTGTAGCCCAATCGTAAACGTACTTTTTACAGTAAGTAGTTTTACCCATGCCAGGATTTCCTTCGATTAGCACGGTTCTTGGTTCTGAACACTCTTCGTGCGGATTCAAGAGAGACGACATGGTGATGATTTTGTCAGTGACTTCTCCTCTCGTTTTCTTTCTTCTGACAACTTTGAGCCTTGTAAAAATATCACCCACAAAAAACTGGAACTCTTCACACCATGGAAACGGTGAAAGCCATCCCTCGCGAGTTTTGTACAGTTGACGAATTCCATCGATTAGCTCAATTGGATCAAAAACGTCTAAATTAAATCAAAGGGATTCTAGGTGAAACTGGTGGATCTACTAAATAAAATTAGAATATAATACAATGGTAGTAAAAGCCAACAATCCTACATTCCAAATGACAGGGTTAAATTAGAATCAACCAAAAGAGCATTTTTTTTATAAAGGGGCCGATATATTTAATGAATATGTATAAATCCAGCTCTAGTCTTCCTATCTCTTTTCATATATAGGTTCTTAGATTGTGTATGTGGCTTCTGTGCTTTTTCAAACTTTTTTTTTTCCGCAGGACCCATGTTGATAGCAGTTTTTTATAACTGAATTGGCCATCCTGCAAAAATATGTTATTATTGTTATTATTATTATTATTATTATTATTATTATTATTATTGTTATTATTATTATTGTTATCCGCCTTAGAAGTCCTCTCTAAATTCAAGAATCGGTCCACCATCTTAACTGAGACATGCTCTTCCCAGACTTCTATAGGGCCGTGCAAAAGCAACGCAATTTTCAAATCAAGTTCCTATCCTTTTCGTCCCTATGCTTTGCATATTCACATTTAAAAACCCACGGGATAAAGCATATTTCGTCTGCGGGTTGGATTTTTCATCTTGTAAGTTGGTATCAAATAAATTTTTGGATAGTTTAGGACTGTGGTTCGAATTTGCGATGAATTGCTGATAGATTAATCGATGTGTTTAAAGATTCCGATTTTTTTTGTGGGAAACTGTCACTATTAGGATTTCAGTCACAATTTATGATCATGATGATCGACTTCCCTTGAAAAGTTATAAATTTTCCAAAAACATTTTGCGACAATGAAACAACGCTGTCGCCTACATGGCATTTTTCCGGCCTGAGATAGACTACAACTGATCACCAATCACTACATGTGAGTTTTTTTCTTTAATAGGAGCCCATTTCGAAAACTTACCTCTATTTTTGTATTCCTGAGCTGAGCCTGCCTGCCTTCCCAGTTTTTCCTTAAACTCCCTCATTTCAATCTCCACCCTTGTAAGTTTGGTCTCTATTTCCCCTTTCATTTGCTCTAATGACTGTTTGATGCCTTCTACAAATTCAAAAGTAAATGCAGATAGGGAAGATGAAGCTTTCCTTTGCGTAAAAATAAATCGAAGCGGTGTATCATAAATGTTGTTCACAATTAGTAACAAAGTAGCGCTCAGGAATAAAAGAGGTTAATATTCGGAGGAGAATTTCGTAAAATGATTTGCACTTTGGGCTATCAAATGAATCTGTTTGAGTCAGCTTCACTTCCTGAAATTTCCCATCCTGATTCTTACCATTAATAATTTTGCTTTCAAAAAGTATCATTCTCGAAGAACGACAGATCTTGGTGAAAAAATTCCTCCATAAAAAGAATTACTTGCCTTGGTAGGACTAAGTGATCACTCTCGCGAGCATCCCGCGAGTCTCTTACCTCATAGTTTGCTTATTTGATGCTTCTTGATCTCGAACTTTATGTTTAAGATGATTCAATTAGTTTCGGAGATTTTATTCCCATGTGGTCTAATAGTTCGCTTGTAACTCGAATTTATATAATAAGCTAATCATACATGTATTACAATGGTTATTACTTCTGATCAGTTATTGGAGGACAGATGCTTGAGTGACGTAAAGATCAGCGACCTACCTCACTGCGCCTTGTGTGCCACTTTTTATGAGATAAATTTAGTTTCTAATCAGGAAATGGGATTTCCAGGAGGCAAGCAATAAGCCGTTATTAGCTATTTGGGTCTCCTTCGGCTGGACATAGCATACAGACAGACTCTCACATGCGCTGAGTAAAGCACGAGTTTCAAAGCATACGATCAGTCAGATAGTGAACTCCTCTATTAATCGCTATAACAGCCAACATAGTAAGTGCTGAAGAAGTTGGCATGTAGCTATTAATGTTTCAATTATTTGTTCACAAGCTCCAAACTACACCGAACACTTTTTGAGGCCCGCTTCTTCTACAAGAAATTAAAAAGTATTCATCTTACCTTCCATCTCTTCAAGTCTTTCCTTGATGCTGTTGTCGTCTTTCTTCCACTGTTTCATCAGTTCACGATAATGCTCTTCGATATCCGGATCCATGCAGTCGTGCTCAAGATTGTCTATATCTGTCCGAAAATGAGCTCCTCCGAGTCTTACCAAAGCTTCTCGTATTTCCTGCCAATAAGCACTGAAACTAATGTCATCCACAGAGGCTTGAGAGGCATGGCCGTACACCGTGTTCCTGTAATACTTCACTCTGGCGATGTCATCTGCGATGCTTGTGTTTGCAGCTGGGGGAAGATGATCCCAACCAGTGGCAGGAGAGCTCAAGCCACAGACATTTCTGAGCAGCACTGTCAGAAGTGTAATGTCGAAGGTTGCAGATGACACAGGCGAATGAGCAGGATACAGCTTCCCCCATTGAGTAGGATTCAGCACTTTTTTCTTCCCTTTGTACAATGATTGCAATGTTGTATAGTGCACAGACGTTTTTCCCAAAACCGTGGGTAGAGTCGCAGGTGGATGTATTTTGTCAAAGGTGGACCTCAGCACCTGAGAGCCAACATCTACCAGGAGGCGGCACAGCCTGGCATAGTTGGTTGTCTCTTTTGAAGATGTAAATGACGAAGAGGCGACAGCCATGAAAATAACCTCACCAAAAAAGACTGTCAAGCATACAAATCAATATTAAGCAAAATTAGTAAATGCCACACCCAAAATATATTTTGAAAGCTTGACCCCTGAAAATGGAAAATGCTTGAAATCATGGTGGTTGTCTTATCTCGTGAAACAACTCTCAGTAGAGACGTTTGATCATATAACATCACTGACCAATATTTCTATTCCGGTTTACAAAATACAAACCATGAGCAAAAGTAGAAACGAAAGCCCTAGTTTTTAAAGTTTGTCACAACTCATTACAGAACTCAGTACAACCATGAAAAGTTGTATTGCAGTTTGCCCAGTGCAAACTGCGCATGAAAGTAACAAATATATAAAACCTGACTTTAGGGTTACTTGGAGGGACGTCTTGTTAACATTATGTAACACCGCTTTTTTAAATATATAATACAATTTATTATATACACATTCTCAGGCACATGTTTTTTCGTAAATTGCAACTTTATCCCGGCAAATTTAAAGTTTTGAAAATAGGGATAAAGCAGACAATGCAGGTTTGAAATGCACCCAAGAGCACAGAAAATGTTATCCATGACTGATCATATTGTGATCTACTGAATACCAACCTGGATTTTTGGTTGGCAAGCAAAAGAATAAAAATTAGACATACCTTCAGCGAAAAAAGAAGTTCTATTCACACCAAACTGCATTACAAATTATCCTATCTGACATACAGGTATGTATGAGATCGCAGGCAACTATAAAATCAATGTAGTCTTTCTGCATTATATATTAAACCCTTCAAGTCCCAAAATCTGCTTGTTATTTCTCCTCTCTAGCTGCTACAGATTTCCATGTAAATTAGTTTCAAGAATTTGGTGTTGGATCAAGATAACAACCTACATGTGATAAGTTTCAGTTAATTCTCATTAACTGTTTGCTGGACAATATATGGATATTATTTGGAGAAATTACTTGTTAACCAATTGAGCTAACCGGCCTCCTGGTTAGCTCAATTGATTAGAGCGCCGGATTGTGTTGAGCGGGAGGTCGAGGGTTCACATCTGTGACTTCTTTACTAAAGCTAATTCAAAGCACAAGCATGAGACCAGGTTTTCTTCGTCTGGAAATTATTAAGTTAAAACTTCAAGACTGAATCTAACTCAAGATTCTTTTTCCAGGTTTGGAGTTAAACTTTGGAACGCAATTCCTAACGAATTTCGTCAACTCTCCAAAGGAGCCTTTAAGAAAAATTTTCATGACTTTTTGCTCTCGATAATGGAAGCAGAGGACGATTATGTTGTAGTGCCCATTCTTCTACAAAAAATGGCAAATTCTGTATCCTTGAATCAATGTACTAATAATCGATAGGTTCTGTTAGGAGTAAATTTGATTGTAATACTATTCTGTAAG